CATACACACTTGATATATACATACCTGCGAGAATGCCGTGTAGAAATGATATGCCGGCAGATCGTCAATGAGTTTAGTGACAAGTGTATTGCGCTGTGTGAGGGCTCTCTCTAGCTTAGCTCTGCATGACCTCCTAACTTCGGCTTTCAAATTCATGGAAGTGAAATCAGGCATGGAATAGTCTAGCCACACAGTAAGCAGCATGGGCATGGTTCTGTAGATGTACTGCGTGCCTGGAAGAGTGTATAGATGTGTGGCGTGAGCTATGGAGGAAGCGATAGATAAAACTAAGAATATGTTAGGTATTGCTGGGTACTGACCGAGATTAAGAGTTTGAGAAAGCTAAAGTTAGCGTTGGAGGTATATTTGTCGGTCCATGCGCGCGTGTAGTTGGTGACTGAAGCATTTACTATCCCCTGAGATACTGGAACACGGATCAACAGTAAGCAGGTCGATAGGTGACAATAATATTAAGCTAGATATAGCGTATGTATATACATATATACATATCTATATAGCTGAGTATCATATACACGTAAACTATATAAATGCGCGCAAATATACAGGAATATACGTATTTATTTGTCATAGTTGGACATCTATCACATGATGGCTCATAGTTAATAAACTAAATGATGTTTGTAGGTACAAGTCATACCATTTAAGCTTTACTGTAGACTGCGACTGACTGATATCGGTTGATCTGATGCTCATATCCACATTTATAGATATATATATTTACATGCATGTAAAGTATAGTTTAATATTTTACACATGCAAGCGCACAGACCAAAGATAGAGACATACATAAAATTTAATCTCAAATATCCGTACACGTTACCATGTCTCAGAGAGTGACCGTAGTTCTGGATGATACTGCGACTGATATCAGCCGACCTGATCATCATATCCACAGTCTCAGTACTGCCTTCTGTAAGGCTACGGAACTCCTCGTAGTACGCACCTAGTACATAGTACGCCTTCTCCCAGTCCGGCCGGAGATGGGCTACCTACATATTAATTAATATCATGCAGTCGACATTACAAAACCCTATAATCCTAAAGTGTTTATACGAAGCCCGTCGAATATATGCTTGTTGCATGTGATGGGGCAAGAGCTACCTATGTACTAATCCATGGTTTGGAGACGAGATGACAGGGTTAAATATGTAGACAGTCATGAAGACATGGATATAAATATGCTTACGTAAAATAGGGGTTGGCGTCGACAAAGTAGGGGGATACATGGGCTGCCTTAATTACGATTAATAGAATGGAGTCAATATTGCAGGTTGATGCACAGGAACATACGACACGATATGTATGTTATATGTGACTGGGAGAAGGCAGCTAAGCATCTATACTTGGCATGGAGTAAAGATTACGGATCTATGTAAACAGACAGATACTAGGACATGCATGTACATATACTCATGCACAATAAAAGCAAGGCCGTGGGTGTGTCATCTGACGGGTTTATACATGTGTGTTGTAGTAAACATGCAACTATACTCGCCCTAGAAGGATCACACTAACAAACAGATACACAGACCTGTTTGAACACCAGTATGATGTTGTTCGAGTGCGCAACTCCATTCCTCTTCATTACTTGGCCCAGCAACAGCCCAGCCTTTCCGTGTGCTTCAGTGTGAACACCCGTTGCGTTGGGATCAAAGAACGCCTTCAGCTCAGACAGTGCTGCATGCTCCCTACCCTGTGAGAGAAACACCTTCGCCTGGAGTGTATTAAATAGGTATAATAGAGCGTAATATGTCAGATAAGTGTGCATGTAGTCTTAGGGGATATGGGAATGTAGGAGTGCATAGTTTAGTTAACTTGAGGTTCTGTGAGTACTTGGTGAGAATGTTTTGCGAGCCCGATATTTATATATATATATCTACACACACACACACATATATATATACACACATACACAGACACAGACATAGACATAGACACAGATACAGACACAGCCACACAGACATAGACACAGCCACAGACACACAGACACACAGACACAGATACAGACACAGACACAGACACAGACACAGACACAGACACAGACACAGACACAGACACAGACACAGACACATATATATACATACACACACATTACACACACACAAACACACACACATATATATATATACGTA